ACTAATATTTACTTGCATGTTACTTGTACTTCCGTTCACTGCAACTGCGATGCTTCTGCCATGTCGATGCTGAAATGTATTGTTGAGCAGATTGTATGTCATAAGCATCTAGATCAGCATGCATTCATTTTATCCTCTGCTCTTGATTGGCTTGCGATCATTCAGCGTGCTCACTTGACTTGTTGATTTGGCCAGATGCATAAGCTGACGATTATCGTGATACTGAGTTCGCTAGTGGGTATGATGACTAGTGTATTCTCAATTGGCTGTTCGTGTGAGGATGACGTCTCGCTGTGCTCGAGTGTGATGTATGTTTCGTCTGCCAAATGAGGAAGTTGTGCTTGTTCCCTTAGTTTCATCACTCTCCGTGCTCGAGTGTGCTGTATGTTTCCTCTGCCAAATGAGGAAGTTGTGCTTGTTCCCTTAGTGCCATCGAGGTGCCATGTAATAAGTTAGACATTGTGTAAGACTACGTTGTTTAATGTATGGAATTTCTGTATCGACCGTGCTTCCTAGCTTTGAATGATCCTGGGGCTAGTGAGTCGACAAAATGGAATGGATTAATAATTCGAAGCTGATAATGTTTAAACAGTGTATGAGTACACACATAGATAAGGATGTAATGTCTAAGCACAGGTAAGGAAATTTATTGCCCTTTGGACATGGTTAGACATCTCCGTTATTACCCTATTCTAATTTGCAAAACTCTCATCACATGTTAATATAATGACAATAGAAGTGTCAAAGAAGAAAATAAGGGAATACTTCATTTATGCCCTTAGTTGGTTCCTATTTGAGCTAAAACACGCCACTTATTTTCGAACGGAGGGAGTACTTTCTATCTGAGGGTTTTGCCCCTAAAGTTGCACCCAAGGTCGCCTGAATGCTCTTTTGTCGCAGTGTTGTCTGATCAACGTTGTTTGACCGTGACGGGCTGCCATTTTGAACATTTTTGCACTGGTCACGGAAAAGAACAACATGTCACTTACAGAAGGAACCGACGGTGTTCTCGTGAAGCACCACCTTATTCTTCTTTCCCGTCTACGGTTAGTTGCCGCCGCAACCCAATCTCCTTCTCCACCTCTCTCTCATATCTGAATACTGTTTATTCCATTACTGTCCACCTCGCGCTAATACAAATGCACCAACAATCCATCTTAGCTTTCACTTGCCATTAGCTTATACACAAATCACATTTTCTGACAATGAATTGGAACAACTTTGCCTAGCCTAAGAAACTACACAAAAAGCTAGAAATTTGTAAGAAAGCAACATCAATGGAAAAAGGAGAAGGTACAATTCACTGTAAGAAACTAACATCAGTGCAAGAAGAAAAGATGAATTAATTATCTTGGGCAGAAGTAGAGCAACCAAAAGTCCGAATTGATGGAAAGAGCTAGACAAGCCACATATACACTTTAACACAATTCACTGTCAGGGCCTAGGACGGCCGCCCCTCCCGTCCCATCTAAGGGCCAGGCCTGCATATGGATGCTAGAATCATTGGGAGAATTAAAGCACAAATGAAATATGAACAAGCATATGTAGAAGAGGAAGGAACCTGATGGGTCCAACTGTAATGAACTAGATTCTGAAGCAGAAGCAGTGGAGCGATTAACCGATTCCTTGGCACTACCAAGCGACGCACTGTATTTTACCCATTGTGCTTTTGCATTCCTAGTCACTAACCATTGTGTGAGAATGTGAGAAGAAATAGTAAATTACCAGCGGTTAGGATTGCAGAATTGGATGAAAGAATTCTCCAGAAGAGGGTTTACGTTATTCTCCTCCGATGTGGCTCCAATTATGTCGGTTCCTTTACATTTTTCCCATTGGCATGCACCGACCAAAAACCTAAGAAACATTGAATAACTTACCAACTCAGGATTACAGGTAAGATGGCAGGTGACAGAAAAATGACAAAGGCTTTACATTTGCATTACATATTTCAGCATGAGACAGGATTAGAAGATAACACAAGGCGGAACAGTCATGGCACAGAAGATTGACACAAGGGCGGAGAAATTGCTGAAAATAAAAGGTTGTGGGTAACCAAAACATGTAGAAGCTTGAATTTTGTGATTACATAGATGTGGGGTATCTTTTTTTTTTCTTTTTTTTGTGGGAAACATAGATGTGGGCTATCTGACCAAGGAGTGAAGAGCTGACATTTGTTCCTTTGCCAAGCGCAATGCAACTTGGATGGGATTTTTTACACCTGATCTACAAGAAATAGAAAGTTTGGTCAGAGCTTTAAGCTTGTCCGCGGGACAGAGAGTCGACGAGGGTTTTGAAAAATACGCGCCGGAGCCCCCGCGGAACGGGCGATTCGCGGGCGAGGACGGGTGGAAGTTTTGCGGTTCGGGCCCCGAGGAACGCCGTATTCGCGTCCACTTTTTGGCGGGAAGGAAAGAAAATGCGGGCAGGGGAGGCAGGAACGGAGATGCTTTCCGTTGTCGTCCGAGCTTATCTGCTGGCTGGCGCTGCTGAGGTTGCGTGTCTTGAGCCCCGCCTGCGCGCCTTCAGTGCGAGACAGTCAGACGGACGGACAGGTCTGACGGTGGACCGATTTGATTCGATCTGAGTTTGACTGCACCATGTGCGAACCCAGGAGGCTGGTTCTGAATGTAAATTTGGCTGGGCCGTTCGGGTTGAAAGGAAGATCGATTGCGTGGAGAGAACAAAAACGAATCATTCCTTCATGGACGTTGTAATTTCGTATAGACTGTACCTACTATGTTTTGAACAAGACAGCAACGGAAGGTTTCACATCATGACCGTCTTTTTTATGTATGTATGTATGTATCATCTATGCTTATCGCACAAGATAAAATAAAAATGTACTCCCTTCATTTTTATTTAGTCCGCGTATTAGCTTTGATAAAAGTCAAGCTTTATAAACTTTGATCAACTTTATAAAAGAAAATATTAACATAAGCAATAATAAATCAATAAAATTAGATTTATTTTTGAATGTACTTTCACATCATATAGATTTGGTATGATAAATGTTTATATTATTTTTTTATAAACTTGATCAAACTTTATGAAATTTAACTTCAGTCAACTTTAATATACAGCGTAAATAAAAACAAAGGGAGTATCATGTATGCAACTGTGTGCTGTGTTTGATCCATGGCATTCATGTTGTTAGTTATGACGGTTGCTAGTCCAAAGTGCATGCGTTCCATGGCCCACCGACAACATCACTGGAACCGAGGCACAATTCTTGTGGTGGAGCAGTTTCGAATCATGCATTAGCGGCATTATTTTAATTGAATCGTCTCGCCTCCCTCCGCATGCAAGCCTCACGCGCACATCCCTAGTGCATGCTATGGCTGGGTATTTATTTCTCCCAATCAGCGTACGCAACGAGCAGCGGAATCAGTGAAAAAGGCGGTGACTTAATTACAGCGGGACTAATAAAAATGAAACGTGGCTTGCTGGTTCACAAGGCCCAATAAACCCGAACGGAGGAAGTACTTGTATTCTCTTGGTTCGTTGGTGCGCTAGTTACTTCCATGGAATTTCCTATTTGACGCTCGCTGCGTCAAATAGTTGACGCATCGCACACAGCCAGCTATCCAGCGCTACCCTTGGGCCGGCCCAGTTAGCGTGTTCTAGTGTTTCCTGTTTTGGGAACCTTCTAGAGTTTTCCAGTCGGTTTTTTCTGGTTTTGGGAACCTTCCAGAAGGTTCCCTAAACTGGTTTTTCTTTTTTCCTTTTTCCTTTTTTTTCTTTTCTGTTTCTTTTTCTAATT